TAAAATTCTCATATTAGAAAATTTTAATTTTAATTTTTTGTGTTGTTATTGTTGTTGTTGTTATTTTGCTGACAAGGATATTTTGGATGCACTTTTATGATCACCCCTTTATTTTTCTGATCGAACGATATTTTTTTATTATGATTGACGATAATTACTTTTGTGCATGATTTTTTTCCTTCATACGCAAACGAATCGATTACTCATCAACTATTTCAATGGAGATTGCGCACTAATGATGAAATCTCCATAATAACATTTTTTGTCATGAAAGATGCATGAACGAAATAGAAAAATTAAAAAATATTATTAACAATTTATTTTTTGAATTAATATGATTTATAGATAAAATTCTCATATTAGAAAATTTAAATTTTATTTTTTGCATTGTTGTTATTATTTTGTTTACAAGGACGTTTTGGATACAGCTGGATAATTATTTTTCGCTTTCGTAATCTACGAACATTTTTTTTTCGTTAGATGGTAATTGTCTACGCGCATGATTTTTTTCTTCTTCATATGCAAACGAATCGATTACTCATCATACATTTCACTAAGAGATACGCAATAATGAAGAATCCTTCAATAATTTATACTCTAGTTTTAGCCCAAAGCATAAATTCAAATGTTGAAGGAAATATGAAATTTAAGATTATTTGACGAGATGTACAAAATTAGTGCATTAAAAACTGCGGGCTGCATAGTCGAAGTGACAAATACTCACTGATCTTTCGATTATAGACGATCAATAAAAAATAAAAAACTTGTCTACCTATTATGAAATTTGTTCCAAGACTATTATATATTCCTTGTTATCAAATTCTGAGGTTGTCCTTATGTTATGATTTGATCGATTCCTCTAATAAGTATTGCTGCTCAAGGTTTTATTTTGTATGAAGCGCTTGTACACTCTTCATTTTTTTGTATAATATTGAAGTGTGTATATACACAAAATCACATTATAGATTTAGTTGAATGCACACACATTTAGTTATGTACATAGGATTGTAATTGTAAAATAAAAAATGCATTAAACGAACGTGAACCACGCGATCGTCGTTGTAACGAACGCTAAATTACCAATATAAGATTGTTTTAAATAACTAATGATAGTAGTTTGGTCTGGCTTCATTATCTTTTAATTTTATTGTAATCTAAAATAAAAGTTATACAACGTAACAACAGTAATTAACAGATTGGTCTATATCCTTATAATATTCTCTCTCATATTGATATTAACATTGTAATTGTTGATAGTACATAAAGATTTTAACTTCTAATAGAATGATATTATACTACCTATCAATAAATTTCGCAAACGTTGTATTATTTTATTAACAAGAATAATATAATATTTCTGTTTCGCATCTACATCGTACTGAAGAAAAAGTATTCTGTTTCTTGTAGTCTGTGAAGTGTTTGAAAAATCGAAATATACATCTGTACATGTCGTCAGTAAAGAAAAACATGTTCACTCTATTTGTTTAATATTAAAATATTTTATAAAATAAAATAATTTTATTTAAGATATAAACTCAACGTTTACGACAAACAATAACTTCAGAAGCAAATGAATCTAAATTAAAAGAATGGTTTTTATTCATTTCACCTGAAAATAATATATCAGACGTATAAATAATAATAAAATTTCTTTTTTTATTCTAAAATATTCTTCTTATTTATTTTTAGTTAACTCTTGACAACATGTCAAAGATTATTTCATCAAAAATTTCTTATTTTCAAAATTATAAAAAACAACAATTCTATTTCATCAATGAAGATTTAAATATTCCACATATTTCTGAAAATAATCATTTATCAGATTGTATTCATTATCTTATTAATCATAATAAACAAATTGAAATTGCTCATAATGATATTAATAATTAATATCAAGCATTATTACTTCAAGTAAATAAGTTAACTGATATTATAAAACAACATATTACAGAAGTAGCAAATCATAAAAGAAATCTTGAGGGATAATTAAAAGATTTTAATAAACAACTTTTAAATGAAAATCAAAAAATGAAACTTGAAATACAAGAATATCGTTCGAAATTTCTTGAAATAACAAATATAAATAATGAGTTAGAACATGAGTTTGGTTTGAAATGAACAACATACAAGAGATATACAAATTCAATTTGAAACATTTAAAACTAAAAATCAAATGTTAACAAATATAAAATACTATCTATATGTTAGATTAATCCTGTCTTCCTCATAGCTAAAATTTAAAATCAACCAATATTATCTTAAATCTTTTAGTTTACTTATGAAAGAAAAATCTAATTCGGATTTTTTTATGAAAATCTCATATTTTATTATGGGAGAAACGTCTTTTGATCACCGAAAAAGGGAGAAATGATCACCTAATTAGTTGTATGTGAAATGATCGTCGAAAAAAGGGTGAAATGATCACCTAATTTATCTGTATGTGAAATGACCACCAAAAAAAGAGTGAAATGATCACCTAATTAGAAAAACAGTTAAAAAATAATCAAATAGAGTAAGAAGGGGTGATTTGGCACCTGAATTTTAATTTTTATGTTATTTTTCTAATAGTTTTTTTATTTTCCATGACAGAAAACTTTTTTGAGTACAAAACATCTAGTAAAAATATTTCTCTATCGCTTGGTGTTTATTTTCTAAAAATCTCTTCCAGTAAAGTTTCAGCAGTCGTTTTAGTGAGACTGACTAATAGCTTTGCCAAATTACCCCGCATGGGATGATTCGGCAACCCCATTTATTTTACTGATAAATAATAAAATCTAATTTACTAAGCTATTTTAAATCATTTTTTTATAACAATAACATTCGATAGCCCAAACATTTCTCTACACACCTATACTAATCTTTGTTCCCACCTTTTTACCACATCCAGGTATAATCATTTATAAAAAGATCTTTAAGAAAAAGTTGTATCAAATCATCCCTTCTTACTCTATTTGATTATTTTTTAACTGTTTTTCTAATTAGGTGATCATTTCACTCTTTCTTTGGTGATCATTTCACCCTTTTTTCGACGATCATTTCACATACAACTAATTAGGTGATCATTTCACTCCTTTTTCGGTGATCAAAACACCGCTCGTCCTTTTATTATTTTCTAGAAAGAATTACAATCAATGAAACATTTATTCGAAATAATATTAAAAGAAAAACAAATATAAAATGATCAATTACAACATGAAAGACAATGTAAAATAATTTTTTTTAACTTATGAAATATTTATATAAATAAATATGACAATAATTATCATAAGTGATATTCTATATATTTACATTTTATTTTAAAGCATTTTTCATTGAAAAAAAATTCATTCACATCTTATTACTTTACATTAGATTTTCTCGTTGTTTGTTTTTAGGGAGTAGGTCGGAATATCTGGTATACATGAAAATCATATCAACTCCCACACCCACATTCATCGGAGTATTGAAAGAACATATATACGATCAAATACTTGATAAGTTTTTCGAACGCATTACTTTCATCTTTAGTTTATTAAACACAAGGAATACTACAACTCGTATATATAATTCTTCTATATTGATCATAGTAAATAAAAGAAAGTTTTTCAATTTTATTAATTTCGTAAGTATTTGTTTATAAACGATACATGACACAATAAATAACTATTTAATGTACAATGTCAATTTTCGAAAATTTATCATTATTTTTATACATAAATTCCATTCGATTTTAATGTTAAAAGTGATGTAAAATATTGTTGTGCTTCGTGTATAATTCGAATAGAAGGACCATATGGTATACCAAGACCTTGTAATTTTCTTTCATCTATAAATGGTAATTCACAGAAATCTATTTTTTCTTGTTCAAGTATTGAACTATATTCATCATAATTTAATAAACTAAGAAAATAACGAAGCATTTCTTCTCTACCAAAAAATCTAAATGAATAATCTATTTGATAAAAGAACTAGAAACGATTCTCTTTTTTTACTGTTCAATTTTTCGTGCTTGTCTTGGATGAATAATTGAATTTGAAGGTTGATTTATTAATGGTAGATAAGATGTAGAAATGTTTATGGGATTTGTATTATTAATAGCAGCAAGGTGTTGAATATTAGAAGTATAATACATGGCTACTGGTAATCGAAAATTAAACTAATTTATGTCATCATTCAAATGATATATCTAAGACTCAATAAAGAAAAACTCTAGTTCTAAAAAACATACCACTTATTGTTGTTGTTATCTCTGTTGTTGATGTGTTTTTCCTCTTTGTTTTGTTCACCTAAATAGTAATTGTTGAAATAACTATAATTAAAACAATACAAATAATGGAAACTATCATCTAAATTAATTTCCTTTGCAGAAAATGTTCACATCTAGAATATTAAATTATTTTGATAATTTATTGGAATTTATAATATATATATATATACATACAATGTTCTTAATGTTGTTCTATTAGGGTTAACTTCTATAAAGTAAAATATGCGAAAAGAAAACAAAAGATTATTTGTTTTTTTTAATTTAATACATTGTTCTATCAGGTTTGACCCTGTTATTGATGTTCATAGTTGTGTTTTTCTATCTAAACTTGAATATTTTTAAAATCTAAAATCAACAAAAAACTCTTCTTTTCTTAAAAATAAATATACCAATTATCTCATTGAAAATTGTTTTTGTATTTATGTGATTTGATATGTTCTATTAATCCATCGATCTAAAACGAAATAAAACAATTCTTGTACATATTTTGATGTATTTCTACATGAGTTAAATGAAAAATAAGTCTTCTCTTAAATAATCGCTTTAAAATATCATAACATTTGGAATAAAACAAATCCTACGTCAATAGAAAATTTATTTTATTTCCTTTTTCAAGGTTGAATTTCAATAAAATATTGACAGATGTGAGTTGTGATTTTGTGTTAATGTAAAATCTCTGTTGAGTAATAATATTTATTTCGATTATTTATAGCAATATAAAAAGAGAAAAACATGGAATGACGTCAAATGTTGCATAAAATACATTAAAAAACAATAGAATATTTATTGTCGGAAATGTTTTGTATTTAACATTTTCAACGTAACTCTTTTTGGTTTTTGAAAAACTATTCCAGATGTTCATTTTCATGATGACTTAGCACTTCTGAAAAAAGTACATACATTGAATGACGTCTTCACAATCGTTCGTTTGATTATTTATCATGTTCTTCTTGACATTGCTACATAATGAATTATTTTTGCACTGAACAGATAAATGACGAAAATTATTTGTTTCTTCGACATGTTGATAGATAGTATATGTGAGATATGATGTTTTTGATCGAATTAGCACTGAGTTTGAGTAGGACCCTGCGGGGTTGCCCCGATCCCTATTTTTTTCTCGAACCCGGTCCCGATCCCGTCGGGATCGAGACCAGGATCGAGATTGATGACGTCACGAGACCGGAACTGGAAATCCGGAACGCTGCTTCAACGAGATCGGGATCGGGACGGCAAAAAATTTTTCGGGACTTAGCTAATTATATCTTATCGAAGTGCAATTTCTTTTTTATTCAAAAATTCAATATAATCTTTCGTAAAAATAAAACTAAAATACTCATGTACACATGTCATGAAAAACAATGTTCGTAAGATAAATAAATAAGTAAGGTTGAAGAAACAACAAGTTTTGATTACTCTTTAAGTTCACCTTCACTTGATACGGTGTTATTATTTCCAGTTCGATGCTTCTTCGATACTGAAGATGTCTGCTATTCACCTTCATGCTCGTCGCTCGACTTATATTCATCGATTGACTTTCGTTCCTGTCTTTGATCATATAGATTTGTCCTTATTGATCTTATCTTCGATCTTTCTCGTTTCACTCTAAATGTATTGAACTGTTTTATCTTTCTCGAATATGAATTCTCTTTTCGACTTAATCGATTAGTTTGATATAGCATCTGATTGAAAGAGCTCAGAATATTATAATATACGCTTCAACGTCAGCTTTCTATCAACAAATCGTAATACGATGAAATGCTATCGAGTTGCGTCTTATTCCACATATTTGTTTAAAAGCTATTTCTGGTGGGTCCAGAAAAATCGGGTTTAAACGGGATCGGGATCCCGAAAGAGTATTTTACAGGGATCGGGACGAAAAAAACCGGTCCCGCAGAACCCTAAATTTGAGAATTCGAACGGAAAATTTAGTAATTATGAAGCAGAATGAGAATTTCACAAAGAATTGCTGAAGATTATGGATTCTTCACGAAAGTAAAGTCTCATTATGAAAATAATATAATCGATTCCTATCGGCATTGTATCATAAAATGATTTTAGATATACATGAAGTTATGTGATCTATAACTGGCAAATAAGATTTCATGGCAGATCTTAAACATATTCAAACAGTGATAACAAATCTATTAGATGATCAAGTTTATTGAAATTTCTGTTCTTGAATATATCCAAGAATTGCTTTTATTTGTTATTTATACAAATGTCTTATGTTTCTACGAATGATGAAACGCAAAAGAAAATCGTAGGATGCAAAAAGGATTTTCATTATTTCTTTTGTTCAATATCGACCAAAAACGTTGCTATTTTTTATTCTTCTTCATTCGGGTATTGAGATTTCTTCGCAACTTGTCGACGATGACAGTACGACAGAAATAATGCACCAGAATAGAGTACAATTGCTAAAAGAACACAAATCATCAGTAGTATGGGAAAATGTTGTGGATTTATATCCATCACAATACCTAAATAATACCATTCAATACATATATTCGATTATCCAATTATGCTCCTTACCACACAAGATAAGACCAAGAAGTAGTGGATTGACAACTAATCGTTGATTAATAAAACCAAATGACAATGGAAAAAAAATTGGTGAGAAGATCAAACCAGTATACGAACCAAGAATGAATAGTCTCGTACTTGATAATCCTATGATCCATACAAACAGGGGTGTCCCGATAGGGGCCGTGTGGGTGTGAGTGTGAGAGCGTTTGTGGATCTAGCTGTCTCTTACATAACCGCACCCACACCCAAACCCTCAAGATTTTTTTTATTTTTTCAAAATCTTCTTAAAATAGATCATCTGTCATCATGTCGAATCGTATATCGAGGTATCGAAAGAATATATATATGATCAAATACCTGATAAATTTTTCGGACACATTATTCTCATCTTTAGTTTATCAAGTACAAATACTACTACAACTTGTAAATATTTGTTTATAAGCGACATATGACACAACAAATAATTATTTAATGTACAATGTCAATTTTACGAAAACTTAGTTGTGGTCCCCCTCAGGACTCTCTATTGAAAATCGACCCCGTGCTCTCCTCCAGGTGAGATTTTATAACGAAAAAATTTCGCTCAAATATACCTAAACTAATGTTGTTTTGTGCACTGATTCCGAGTACGGTATTTATTTTGTTCTAAAGCTGATATATATGCGCAAAAATATGAAAATAAAACCATTATTTTTAAAATTGTATACGGTTTTGCTAGAATCTTGCTACTTTTACGCGATGTATGTTCTATATGAAAATCCTCTCCCGGATTTTTTTCAATTTGAGTTATATACCAAAAGATGCAGAATTTCAAGGGCTTGCAGAAAATAGGTTCATTTTTTTGGGATAGAATGGTGGAGTGTAGTTAGAGTCAAATTACTAGTAAAATGACTTTTATAAACCATGGACCCTTCCCCCAGCATTGTTGCAAAAAATATTCATTACTGAAAGTTTTTTTCGAGATTTTCCAGTTTAACCATTTTGTGTAAAACTCTTTGTTGCATCTTTTAAAACCAACCCGACCTTCAAGCGACGAAGTATGGCTGAGAAAATCTCAAAATACCACGAAAATTTGCAAAAATCTATTTTTTTCAGTTTCCATTCTTTAACTCGAAAAAATGATAAGTTGTGACTACAAAAGTTTTTTATAGAAAAGTCAGAAAAAGCTAATATTTTGGATTTATAGATTTCTTAATATGATCTTTTATTTGGCCTAGACAAATCTCAAAAAAGAAATTTAGCTCCAGCCGGATTATTTGATGGTCTGGCGGATCGTCTCTTAATTAAAGAAATTCTTATTCGTTTTTTTTTGTGAAAAATGTTGATAAATATATTATCGTGTTCTTAATAATACATATTTCTCAATTATCAACAGTCAACAAATATAATCACTGATCAAAATAATTTTCCAGAACTTGTTTTATTTTCGAAATATAGAATCTTTGACTTTCATAGAATTTACTAATAACATTATTGAAATTTCTGATGTTTTCTTTGTCAAACAATATAATTGTTACTATAGACGGAACACTTATCATGATAAAGTGCACTATATCCTAAGTGACTTTTTTATAGCTTCAATACTAACGAAAATGTAGGTAAAAACATATTCTTATTCTAATAATAAAATATTATAAGAATCAGCAGATTAATAATCGAGAGCAAAATGACGGAATATTTTTAGAAATTTTATTTTATTGTGCATATGATTCAGTTGGATGCGTTCAAAATATATGTAAAAAGCTCACTTTTTATATTTATGAAATAGATGTAGGTCAATTCAACCGAATAATTCAAATTAATGAATAGAAGTATAAAATATCTTTTTATATTTTTAATAATAAGGAAAGTAAAAAAATTGTCATTAAGGTAGAAAATATGAGATTGTTGTTCTCGAGTACCGTATAATGTCAAAAGTAGGTCATTGGATTGATTTAACTAGATCATAAGAACTGATTATGATAGTTTTATAAATTGTCTGTAGTCAGAGATGACCTATTCAAAGTTTTGATTGCGTTTACATGCCAAAGCTCATAATATGGAGATGAAGAGATTCAAGGAAAGTAAAATGACATATTTTTAACCTTATCATGCAACTAAGAATATCTAAAAATATATATAGAAATAGAGACTAATCCGTTCTAATTATTTATCTAAAATTCCAGGTGCGATTCCACGTCAAACGAGGTGTATGTTTGTACGGATAAACTAAAACTCACTCATACTTACATATATATATATTATCCATTTACGACATAGATTGAGAATGTTTTTATTTATCGTAAAACATCTGTAGAAACAAATTACGAGACATTTTTCATCATTACTGTTGCTATCACAAAAAAATGTTTTCTTCCAAGAACATTTGTTTTCATGCATATTAATGAAAAAAAA